AGGCGGGTCTCGAACCCGCGGGCTCAGGCAATTCACTCACCTCAGTCTCCCAAAGCACGGGATTACAGGCTGAGCCACCGAGCCCAGCTAGAAAATTAAAAATAGAATTATATAATCTAGGAATTTCACTTTGGGGTATATAGTATCCCAAAAAAAGTGAAAGAAGGATTTCAAAGATATATTAGTATACAATGTTCATAGCGTATTTATAGTAGCCAAAAGATGAAAACAACCTAAACATCCATCATTAGATGGATAAATAAAATGTAGTATGCACACACAATGGAAAAATATTCAACTCTAAAGAGGAAAGAAATTGTGATGTATGCTACAATGTGGATGAACCTTGAAAAAGTTATGCTAAGTGAAAGAAACCAGAGATACCTAGAATAGGCAAATTCATAGAGACAGAAAGTAGAATGGTGGTTTACTAGGGCTGAGGGCTGGGGACAATGGGCAGTTAGTGTTTAAACAGTATCACTTGGGGATGATGACAAAGGGAGATGGAGGCTGATGACAGTTGCACAACAGTGTAAACATACTGCCACAGAAGTGTACACTTAAACTGGTTAAAATGATCAATTTTATAAATATTTAACCACAATTTAAAAAATACAAGTTGACCCTCAAACAACATGGGGATTAGGAACACTGATGCCCACACAGTTGAAAATTCATGTATAACTTTTGACTTTCCCAAAACTCAACTACCAAATAGCCTACTTTAGACCAGAAGCCTTACCAATAGCATAGCAGTCAATTCACACATATTCTGTATGTATATTATATACTGTGTTTTTACAGTAAAAGAAAGCTAGAGAAAAGAAAATGTTATTAAGCAAATCATAAGGAAGAGAAAATATAATTACTGTTCATTAAGTGGAAGTGGATCATCATGGTCTTCATTTTCTTTTTTTTTTTAATTATAAAGATGTGGGATACAATTCAGGGTTAGTTGATAGAGGAAGGGCTGGTCTTGTTAGAGGTGTTAGAGGCAAAAGGCAAAAAGGAAAAGCAGGAGAAGCAGGTATACTTGGTGTAACTTTAGAGAAATACATTATAATTTCTGTCTGATGTTTTTGCTTTTTCATTTTTCATAAGATGTTTCTGTACATTACCAGTCTTCCCCTTATCGTTTTTCTTTAGTTTCAGTGCCCCTCCCCCTTTTTTCTGAGTTGGAGTTTCACTCTGTAGGCTAGGCTGGAGTGCAGTGGCACACTCACAGCCACCCCAGCCTCGACCTGCTGGGTTTAAGCAATCTTTCCACCTCAGCCTTCCAAGTAGCTGGGACTATAGTTGTGCACCACCACTCCTGGCTATTAAGTGCCCATATTATAGAAGGGTCCTTGTTGTAAAAGAAGTCAAAAGCAGCCTGGAATAATTGAATAATCATTTGGTTGGATTGTGTAATGTCCATTTGTTTTCTGACACTGCTTCTACGTTGTCGTTATCATCATCATCTGGCACTGCTTCAAAAGCACACATCTCTATCAAGTTGTCTTCTGTTAATTCCTCTGGTGTGGTATCTATTAGCTCCTGAATTTTTCCAAGATCATATTTTGAAACCCTTCTCCAACCTTTTTTTGTCATAGCCACAATATCTCTTAAGATTTCTTTGATTGGTTTTGTCATAATTCCTGTGAAGTCATGTACATCTGGACACAGTTTTCTCCAGCAGGAATTTATTGTTTCAGGCTTGGGGGCTTTCACAGCTTTTTCTGTAACAACAATGGTGTTTTCAGTTTCTCCTGTAATCCTTCCAGACTTTCATGATGTTCTCCCTATTCTCATAGACTACGTGTATAATGACCATTAAAGGTCCTTATGACCCTCTGATCTAGAGGGTGAATTAGAGACATGTTTAGGGCAAATAGACCACTTTGAACTCATGGGGTTCTGGGTGTCCAGGAGCACTGTCCAATATCAGAACAACTTTAAAAGACCTTATTGGCAAGGTACTTGTTGACCTCAGAGACAAAGCATCAGTGGAACCAATCCAACAGAAAGTGTTCTTGTTATCTGTGCCTTCATGTTGTACAACCAAAAGACTGGTACCCGGTTTTTGTTTGTTTTTTCATGGCTCAGGAATTAGGAACTTATAGATAAGGGCAGTCCTGATTACATTTGCACAAAACAGTGGAGGCCTATTCCTTTTTGCCTTAAATCTAGTGGCTCATGCCTATAATCCCAGCACTTTGGGAGGCTGAGGCAAAAGGATTTCCTGAGCCCAGGGGTTCAAGACCAGCCTGGGCAACTTGGCGAGACCTTGTCTCTACAATAAATCAAAAAAATTAGCCAGGTGTGGTGGCACATGCCTGTGGTTCCAGCTACTTGGAAGTCTGAGGTGGAAGGATCACCTGAGCCCAGCAAGTCGAGGCTGAGGTGGCCGTAAGTATGTGATTACACTCCAGCCTGGTGACAGTGAGACTCCAACTCAAAAAAAAAAAATCCTGGCGCTTGCTTCTCTTCCTTACTAATTAATAACTTTGTGGCATTTTCAGCATAGGACACTTTTTATCTGCATTAAAAACCTGTGTAGGTAGATACTCTTTCTCAATAATTTTCTTCTCTCTTTTTTTTTTTTTTTTTTTTTGGTAATAATTTTCTTAAGAGAGTCTGGGAACTGTGCTGCAGCCTCCTGGTTGACAGGAGCTACTTCTCCTATTATCTTGATGTTTTCTTAAGCCAAACCTCTTTCTGAAATTATCAAGCCATCCTTTACTGGCATTCAGTTCTTCAGCTTAAGATCCTTCCCCTTCCTGTAAGTTGTCACCTAATGACTTTGCTTTTTCTCAAATCATATTAGCGTCTATAGGTCTGCAAAACTATACCCACATAAAAGCTGCATTTTTAATATGAGGTATTTCACAAAAAGTACATTTTCATAACTGTTGGTGTAGCTACAACTGGCTTAATGAATAGCCTTTTGTTTTTTTAACTGATTTGTACACTGGATTCATTTATCTTGAAATGGTGGCCAACTACAGCCGCAGACCCTATCTATAGTACATATCAAACAATTCCATTTTTTCTTGTAATGTCATGATTTCTCTGCTTCTTTGGAGCACCTGAAGCATCATAAGTGACACTGTGAGTGTCATGGTCTTATTCAAGATTAAATGGTATTGCATTAAAAATGGTAAAAACTATACAAGAACCACAAAAGATCACTGTTTACTGTGATACACCGTGTACTAGAGAAACTGTTCACACAGAGATGATTAGCATCACACAGCAATGTAAGCAGGTACTCAGAACATTTGAACTCACCACAATAACAACAGGAGGTGACTACAAAATTCTTACAGTAGTACACTAGGAACTACACTTAATTTTATGCAGTTATGGCTTAATATTGCATCTTTACATTTATTTACATTTCTCTACTGCAAATGGTGCTATGTACATAACTATATAAATGAGTTTTAGTAAACTTTATAATTTGTATATATTTTATGATAGTAAATGATAAAGTAGACTAGTATCTACAAATATTTTATGCATTCATGGCACACCTTTTAAAAAATTTTTTAGATATTTGTAGGCTATACAGTCTGGAATTTTCTCAAATTGTTGCAAATCTCCAAAAAATGTTTAGTATAAGTAGGAAAAATTGCATATAAATGGTCTTGTGCAATTCAAACCCATGTTGTTCAAGGGTCAACTGTAATAATAAACAAGAACATTCTTGCTGTGGACATTTTTGAAAAGATTTGTAAAACATTGCCATAAATGTCATATTTATTTTTTTCAAGTTTGACATTTTTGGCTTAATTGAAAATATGTGGACTTTGCATGAAAAGGAAAAAGGAAGAATTGAAAATTAAATAACCCAATTGATTTTCTTTTTATTTGGGAATAGTTTAATGTTTGGAATAATTGTTTGTATATCTGTTGGAAAATATGTGGTCTGGAACAATTACATACATGTTTCATGATTTTGTGTCTTACAATTTAAGTGATTTTAAATTCTGAGAAGGGACTGTGCATTTGGTACCTTAGTGTACCAATTAATGTAATAACTGAGACAGTGCCTGGTACATAGTAGGTGTCCAGTAAAAATATTTGTTAAATAAAATAATTTGTATACATAGCCTTTTGTATTTGAAAATATGTTTGCACTTTTATTTGGAAAGTGAGAGGGAGCCTAAAGGATCTTTCCTTAATGTAACTGATTAAATACAAATTTATGTTATGTATTTCTCAAGTAATTGCAAACATTTATCTTGGTTACATTTTCAAAATGGTACAGAAACTTGAGACAGTAAAAAAGTGGAGTAATATGTGAAACACAGGTTGCTTTAGATAGGGGATTAGCTACATATGTTTTTTATTAATGGGAAAATACTCAGAAAAAATAATGTGAAAAATATGACAGTGGTTTTTATAAACAAGTATTAGAATGGAGGCAGATTTCAGTGCTTTGGTTGCATACCACACCTTATTGGTCTATGATAGAAGTAGCATAGCCTTTTGAATTATGAGAAAACTGGTTGTCAAGGCTTGCGCTAGAGTGGTAGTAGTTTTCTGATATATCTCTTTTAGAGAGAAAGAAGGAATTTCACTCCTACATCTGAGTAAGCAGAAACTATTTAGAGGTATACTTCCTTGTCTATGAATGGAGTGAAAATAGATAGGACATAGAAAAATCAAGAGCTATAGGATTCCTGTATTTCTTATCTCAGGGTATCAAATTAACTGGTTATTCCAAGGCTTTATATACTAGAATTACTTATTATAGTAAATCATATCCAACTCTAAGAGAAAAACGATTCTAATACCATGATAAATGTTGAGAGTATAGTAATATTCACATTTTTTAAAATAACAAATTACCTAAGAGAATTGGTTTGGAGCTTTGTATATTTTTTACTATATTTAGAATTAAAATATTCCATATGACATTTAGTCTTTTTCTTTAAAAGTAAATTTGCATTTTGCTAGCTTAAGTTTATTGAAACTGAGCTCTTGTCATTTCATGTTTTTTCCTTGACTTGAAGTCTTACCTACTTGATGAAGATGTCATCTGAAAAGTATACTGCAAGGAACAACACGTTATTTATTAATTCTGCTTTTAGCAAGGTAAAGACCAAATTTTGAAAATTTACTTTTTTGCTTATATAAGAAGTAACTTCATATAATAAATACATTCAAAAGTTTAATTAAATTTCTAACTGTATTTCCTTATTAAGTTGACACAGGAAAAAAAATGTTTTTCTTTACCTCCTATTATTATTGTCTTTCCTAACCTGTAGCACTGTGCTAGGCATATAGTAGACTTTTGTTAAGTTTTTGTGTAGTAATAAATTTTACTATGCTACTTAAAGTATTCTAAAAAATAATAATGCATCTTATATCAATGTTATAATCTTTAAAGGTTGGCTTTTTACATGCATTCTCTTTTTTCTAAAAGAAAATATTTTTTGTATTCTTTAGGTGCTAATGTGTGTTTTAAAAAAAAAACAAAACCTTGGAGTAAAGTAGCAGCACATAATGGTTTGTGGATTTTGAAAAGGTGCAGGCCATATTGTGCTGCCTCAAAAATACAAGGATCTGATCTTCTGAAGAAAATATATATTTTTTTCTTCATAGCTCTTATGATAGCAATGTCAGCAGTGCCTTAGCAGCACGTAAATATTGGCGTTAAGATTCTAAAATTATCTCCAGTATTAACTGTGCTGCTGAAGTAAGGTTGGCCATACTCTACAGTTATATTATAATGTATGTTAATGTTGCTGATGTGTTTTCAGTTTTATTGATAATGTGTTTTCAGTATGATTGAAAATCTTGTGCTTAGTATGATTCTGTAAAAATGATATTAACTTTTCAGATGTATTGTGTCTCTTAAAATAGCATAATTGCAACTTATAATAATTGTGTTGAATGCCATGACAACTTTCTTGAAAGAGCTTATGCGATATCAGAGGAATTTATTTTACTGCACATTTATGCTCAATATAGATATTCAGATTTTTTACTTAATACAAATACTAGCTTTCCTTTTGTTTTGGTTACTTTTAAAATATTTGCTCATCTCACAGTTAAAGTATAAAATATGTTATGCATTTTAAACAGAACTTAGAAGTAAATTTTTAGTAGTGCTCGAAACATTTCTTGATAAATGAAGGGAGGAAAGCATCAAAATGTGTTAACTAAATTTCTAAAATTATGGGTCTCAAAATGCACTTATAATCTTAACTTTAAAGGTAGGGAAAACCTCACAGATGACCAATCAATTCATTGAATAGCAGAGGAACAGAACGTCAAATAATTTGCTGCAGATGACAGATTAGGATCTTAATCATATGTCTTCTAACTTTATTAGAATATACTGCTTTTTCTTGTTTTTATTAAAATGTTTTTTTAAATCCTTAGACATATATTTTTGTTTGACAAATCAGAAATATGAAGATCTTGTTTACTTTTTTATATCCAATATTTAACTTTATTTTAGAGTAAGGCCAAATTTGGATTTTAGTTATTAATTTTGTAGATATGTTAAATTAATTAACTCAGAATGAAACTGGTTTCTTTTCCTTATTTGTGGTGTTTTAAGTCATTTGATTAAAAAATTATGTCAGGATAAGATGAGTATGTTTGTGTAGTGTATCATAGCGTTACTATTATTTGCTACAAGGAGTATTTTATTATTTTCAATTGTAACCATGCAGAAAATCTAAAAAGCGGTTCTTAATTAACACTTTCTGATCATAATTGCCTATTTTGGAAGCCCCACAAATATTTCATATGTAATTTAAGAAATTGTATTCAAGGGCCAAGGGACCTTCTGTTTAAATTCTATTTTGAGGGTAAAATATTATATTAAACAAAACTCTCATTTTTAAGAACAATTTCACTTTTTTTCAGCAATTTTTTTGTTTCCCAAAAGAAAAAAAAATACACACACACACTGCTAGTCTTTACATAGAAATATTGCATCAGGGCTTTTAAAAATTATTTATCAAGCTCTTAACCTGTTCATATTATTTCAACAATTAAATGGAAGACTCTATCAAATATATAATGTTTGGTTCCACTAAAATATTCTAGGACTTAACACACAGATTCTTAGAAATGTTTGTTGAATGAACTATAAGGTTTGTCCAATGTACTGTCAATATTTTTCAAAACAACCCAGGAGTTAGGTTTTGTTGTTGTTGTTCTTGTGTTCCTAAAGTCAGATTTTAGAAAATTATATTTGTCTTCTAAATGATCAAAAACCCCTGCGTTTTACATTTATCAGGTGAATCTTTATGTCTAAATGTTCCTGGTGTGAAGAAGGATCATTTGAGCTATTATATAGCTAAACAAGAACTTTTTCTTGTTTTTAATCCTGATAATGGATTAAAGAAAAATTGAAATATTTGGGGAGTAAGGAAATATAGAAAAAATGTTGCATTAAAACTTATTGTAGTAGTATGCGATTATTTTCCGGTCTCTTAGAAAAGAGAAAATAACCTGTTAATATCTAATGAAAGATATGTTTGGAAAACTCTCAATAAGACTAGAAGTGAATAATACACTTCTATCGTTTTGAGTAATTTTGAAACACGTAATGAGCCAATACTAAAATAGAAGTACCTTTTAGCCTTTAATCTTAATGTAGCTTTTCACTTTGCAAAAAATAATACTTATATGTGGCTGTATATTTTTATTTTTTTCCATCTTCTCTGGGAAAACAAATTTAATCCTTTTTGTTCAGGTTTCTTTTTAAATCAATGCCAATATTGAGCATCTTTTGGGGGGGCTATGAGTCTCACTCTGCCCAGGCTGGAGTGCAGTGGCACACTCACGGCCACCTCAGCTTCAACCTGCTGGGGCTCGGGTGATCCTTCCACCTCAGCCTTCCAGGTAACTGAAACCACAGGCACGCGCCTCTATGCCTAGCTAATTTTTTTATTTATTGCAGAGACAAGTTCTCGCCAAGTTGTCCAGCCTGGTCTTGAACCCTTGGGCTCAAGCAATCCTCTCGCTTCAGCCTCCCAAAGTGCTGGGATTACAGACTTGAGCCACCATGCCTGGCTAATATTGAGCATCTTAAATCTGCTTCTTGAATATGAACTTGAGCTTGGAGCTAACTCAGAGGACTTCAGGAGAGCATCCAGGAAGAGTATTAAATTTGAATCATATATTCAAATACAAATCTCACAAGATTACACAGATTAATACATGATAGATTTTAAAACTTGGCCATAGATTCTGAAAAAAAAAAAAAAGTTATAAACTAAATTCCAAATTTACCATTATTTTCTTTAGTGAATTATATATCTTTTGGAGTATTACAGAGTTACAGGTGTTTTTAAGTCACTAAGTGTCATTACTGATACATGTACAGGTTAGCCATACTTGGATTAGCAAAATTATACTTTCATAAACAATTATCTCTCTCTAGTTAATGTATCTATTTATTTAGAATTTGACATTCTAAATCAAATTGTATTTTTTTTCCTTTTGCAGGTGGATAATTACTATTCCTTCCTCATGGAAAAAGTTTTATTCTAAATGTTATTTCTCATTGAATATTATTTAAAAAGAGAAAGATTAATATTCTAAACTTTTGAGATAGATTTTGGCTCTAGTAAGTATTTAGATATATCACTTACATATCTGGGAGAAGAAATAAGAGACCATCATCAATATAGTCCCATCTGCTAAAAATTTTATTTTATTCATGTCAAGGGAGTACTTAAAACTTGTTTTATTACTAAAAACTTGAGCTGCATTTTTAATGCAGAACTAACTCCTCCACCAGAAATGTAAGAGTTTGTGTTCTTACTTTGTTTATTTATAAAATACATTCCAGTTACTTCTTTTGTCTTTTTCTTTAAGGCTATATGCAATGAAAAATACATTGACAAAATGTTTAAACCCTTTATGTTAAATTACTGTGCAGGATGACAAGTTGTTGTTTTTGTCTTTATTATGCTGAAATTAAATTCAATGTTTATAATTCCTATTTGGGCTTATTTCTTGATTTTTTTAACACATAGAATTCATGCAAAAACTTCATGAGTGTAACAACTTAGCTCCCTTAATTCTGTTGAACTTTGAATACCTGGTATTTTTCTTGTGATTGAACCTTGTGTTTTGAAGAAGTGTAAACTATCTGAAAAATCTTGTCATTATATTTATCATATGCATTAGGGCTAGATTTTATTTGAGAAATTCTACTGACCAAAAAAAATTTTCAAGTCACTTTTATTAATTATTGAATGTATTTCATATATCTTTTATAACATAACTTACTTTTATCTACTTAGCATGGATGATTCTATTAAAGAATATCTTTAAGGAGTGGTAGAAACTTTGTTTCATAGTTTGCTTATTTTCTTATTCTGTAATCTTTGGGAATGCTTACACTTAGGGATTTAACAGTTTCAGAGATAGTTCTTAGAGTAACACTAACATGTTTTTTCTCTTTGGACTTAATACCTATGATATTAACTATAGGGTAAATTTTTTAAACTTTCCATGTCATTAGTCAAAAATACCATTTTAGTATGAAGCAATGAAGTCTAATACTTGTTTTTCTGTAGTTGAGAAAGTTTAAATACCCTCTTTTATTAAAAGAATTTGTAAATCCTATGTTATTCTACATAGATTTTTATATCAATTTGTTTATATTTTTATTATTGTCTTTTCTATGTTACTTGACAAGCAGCATTAAAAATAGACTTGAGGCCAGGCATGGTGACTCACACCTATAATCCCAGCATGTTGGGAGACCAAGGCAGGAGGATTACTTGAACCTAGGAGTTTGAGACTAACCTGGGCAACATAGCAAGACCTCATCTCTTTAAAAAAAATAAAAAATAGATGGGCATGGTGGCACGTGCCTGTAGTTCCAGATACTCAAGAGGGTGAGAAGGATCAAGGATCTCTTGAGCCCAGGAGTTTAAGACTGCAGTGAACTCTAGTTGTACTACTGCCTTCCAGACCTTGACTCACAGAAAAAAAAAATTATTTTTGAAATATTTATATGCAGAGAGGCACAAAGTTATTTATTCTACTATTTGGGTGCTAAAGATCATTTCTGAATAAAACAGATAAATCCCAGCCATCATAGAGCTTACAGTGTTGGGGATAGGAGATGAGTAATAGAATGGACAAAAAACAGATAGGTACCATACATGGTATGTTAGATAGTGGTAAGTTCTGTGGAGAAAATTAAGTAGGAAAGGTGGGAATGATATGATAAAGTGGCTTGGAAGGCAGGAGAGATGTTTTTTACATAGTATGGTCAGGAAATGCCCTACAGAGATGCCATCTGAACAACAACAAAAAAACAGTAACAGAGCAAACCACGTGTGTATCTGGAAGAAGAACCTTTCAAGCAGATGAAATAAATGCAAAGACCCTGACGCTGAAGCATTTTTTTGTGTTGTACAAGGTACAGCAAAGGAGGTATGTGTGACTGTGATCAAGTGTATAAGAGGGAGAATAGTAGTTAATAGGATCAGAGAGTTTATAGGGATCAGATCTTACAACTGTTTAAGCTTTTTGCTTAATCTTCAGATTCAGTTTTCCTTATTTCTTTAAGACAACCTTGGCAGTTGCATGTTCTTCAGCCTATTTTATCTTTGCAGATAGGGTAAAATGTTTTTATGAATCTGACTCAAGGTTAGAACCTCTGAGAACATTTAGAATACAAACAATATGTTTAAATGAGTGGTTAATAGGTATGTGTGTGATGATCAGCTTTTTATAAATTGTGCTTTGATGGCTCTGAAATAGTTTTCTACTTGTTTATTAATTTAACTGGAATTAAAACTAGTGACTCTAGGAGATACTCTGAATTTGCTTATGTTTGTCATTTACTCAAATGAACCACAATCATCTTTGATTCCTCCATTCTTGAAATTACTGCTATAATTGAATACTTCATTATTTCTCACTTATTTCTGTTTAGCAGCATCTTAGCTGAGGAATTCCTTACCCCAGTTGTTTTAGACTAACAGTTTTATCTTCTATAGTGTATACCAGTAATTGTACCCTCCCAAAATGCTGCTTTTTCCTACAGTATACAATTCAAACTTATTACCTTGGTACCTTGTGATCTTGTTCCAATCTTTTCTAAGTTGTTTAATTTTTCTTCATTGAACTGGTCCTATCCGTCCATTTTTCTATTTCTGTGCCTTTTCAAAAATTCATCTCTCCTGTTAAAAAAACAGATTTTCCCCCTCACAATAATCGGACATATTTATTTAAAATCAAGAAATAAGATCCCTCTTCTCCCAGTTCTCCTCCAGCTAATTCCTGAACATTTTGAAAAATTAGGCCAGATCTCTTGTGTGTGCTAAGTGTTTCTTGTCTGTAAGAGTCTGGCATTAGTCATCCTTCCCATTGTATGAACATATTATATAACAAAATGAAGTAAAGCAGGTAAGCAGAGACATCCAGAACTTCACAACAGTAGTGTAAACTTCAGGTCCCAAAGTTCAAATACTTATTTTATGCTGACAAGTTATATAGTTGATTTTTGTTTTTCAAACAATTGTGTGAATCAGCAGAGTATGTTTTTTAAGATTTAAGTACATTAAAAGAATGATCTATTTCAGTTTTTCAATATTATAAAAGCAGTTGACAAATATGCTTTTAAAAAGATATGTATTTATTATGATATTGTTTATAATATTAAAAGATTAGAACTTGGGTGCAGTGGTTCATGCCTATAATCCCTGCACTGGGAGGCTGAGGCAGGAGGATTGCTTTAAGGCCAGGAGTTAGAGACTAGCCTGGACAACATAATAAGATCTGGTCTTTACAAAAATTAGCCAGACGTGGCAGTGCACACCTGTGGTCTGAGCTACTCAGGAAGCTGAGGCAAGAGGATCCCTTCAGCTTAGGAGTTTGGGGCTGAAGTGAATCGTGATCGTGTCTCTGTAATCCCGACTACGCAACAGAGTGAAACCTTGACTCAAAAAAACAAGATTGGAAGAATTTTTTAAGTGCCAGTAATAAGATTGATTAGGCCAGGCTTGGTGGCACAACCTGTAATCCCAGCACTTTGGGAGGCCAAGGCGAGTGGATTGCCTGAGCCCATGTGTTCGAGACCAACCCAGGCAACTTGGCAAGCCCTCGTCTCTACAATAAATCAAAAATTAGTGGGTTGTGGTAATGTGCATCTGTAGTTCCAGCTACTTGGAAGGCTGAGGCAGAAGGATCGCTGGAGCTTAGCAGGTCCATACTGGGGTGGCCGGGAGTGTGCCACAGCACTCCAGTCTGGGTGGCAGAGTGAGACTCCCACTAAAAAAAAAAAATACATACTTAGTAGAAGGCTGTGCGGCTATTTAAAATAATGCAGGTGAATATTTAATAAACTAAAAGGTTAATGATTAGTTGAATAAATGGTTATCAAATAGTATGAACCGATTCACTAGAATAATACATTTGCTAAACTTTTATCACTAATTTATTCTAGGTGAGAAATTTTAGGAGTGAGAGGGATGTTATGTTCTTGATTTTAAATAAGCATGTGCAGTTTTTGTGATGGGCAAAGCTTGTTTTTTGAAAAGGAGAGAGATGCGTTTTTGAAAAGTAAAAAGTTTAATTGAAGCAACCTTTCCTCCACATAATCTCCCTTTAGAAATCAGCTTCAGAAGAACAGTTTGCTCTAAGTTTTCAAAGCAGTGTTGAAAAGGAATTCAAGAGTTATTTATTAAGTTATTGGTTGAGAAGTTCCACTGTCATTTCCCCACTCTTCCAACTCCCAAAATCTCAAAAGGTAAGTATAAGAAAAGCGATATTTAAATCCCTCTTAATTTTGAAACTATAAAGAAATAACAAGTCTAGTTGATTTTGTAGTTATAAATATTTGATAATGAAATGAAACTGACTTTGAAATCTAAAAATTAAGAATTTTTCTGTTAAAAAGTTTTAAACTTTTTTTAGCATAAAAGTAATACGTAGACATAGAAACCTTAGAAAAGACAAAAAAATTTAAAAATCACATTTTTATCATCTAAAAGCAACTACTATCATTAGCCTTATATTCCTTTCTAGTTGCCTATTTGGATTAGTGAGTGTATTTCTTAATCCAATTCATTACTGGGGCCTAGAAAGAGGATCTACCTCTCAAGAAGAGATATGGTGATATTCTGACTCAGAAATTTTTTCTTTAAATTTGAATTTTATCTGAAAAATACCACTAAGTTTATAACCTATTCCATAATATTGTAAAGAATGCACAAAATTAGAATTTATTTTTTCTCTCAAGATTGAGGCTATGGGAAGATGCAGCTTGCTTATTACCCTGTGGCTTCTCTACTATACCTGCGTGTCTTTCTCAAGGGTATCTTTCCATAGCGACAAAAAGTATTTTGAGTCAAGAAAGATAATTGAATTGCTTTTAGCAGGAGAATAAGAAAAATAACTACTGAAGTATGTGTACTTCTCAAGATTTGTTCAAAGAAAGAAATCTAAGAACAATATATTAAATTATGAGTTTGTTTCTTTTATAACTCAGTAATTTATTAAAAAGCTGACCTATTCTAAAATTGTCAGATTCATATTTGGTATTCAAAAATTTCTTACTGTTAATGACAACTAATAATTATGGATATTTTAAACATTATGGTAATAAAATAGAAACATGGCACTAATAAATGAACTCAATAAATATGGGCCTATGACAGTGAGTATGTTTTTCTCAGAATTTGACCCATATAGACTGTAAGCAAAAGTGATATGTCTTAACTCATTTTTCTCACACACTAATAACTAAAACTCTTAAGAGCAACAGTAGTGTAATTTAGAAAGGTAGGTTTAGAACCTGAAAAACACTTGGGTAACGGAATAAGGAAACTCTGTTACTTTGGAGAATAAGTAATAAATCTGACTATTTGGAGGGAGGGGTGTTTGTCACCAAAACAGGCCTATAATACAGACTTCAAATTAGACCCTCTGTTAAACCACCTTTGTTAGCATTTTAGTGGATATTGCATACTTTGAAAAGTT